CTTTCTATCTATGACATTCTACTAAATATCTATCTATCTATCTATCTATCTATCTATCTATCTATCTATCTATCTATCTCCGTCTGTTTATACCTATCTAGCTAGCACCGTTTGTTCATCATCTATCTATCAATCTATCTATCTATCCGAGCGGATAGACAATCGAATGTTTATTGAATAAATTTCGATCCGTGTGTATAATATCTATTGAACGTGTTAAATACATAAATAGGAAGGTGTGCTGAAAAGTTCGTGACTCTACATACTTCCTAAAATTGTACAAAAAAGCCTTTCTTGGTTGGGCTGAGAACCTTTGAGGACTGTGTCGCGTGTTTGTGTATATAAATACACGGATAATATGTGCACCGTTACACAACTACCCCATATATATATATATTTGACGATTGCATCTTGCATGAAACAGACTGTCGCCTCTAAGTGTTGACTTCCTTGTTCACTTTTATATTTACATATCTCTATCTCTGATATTGAGCACTTTATCCTATAAATATAGCTCATCTTAAGACTATATTTCTTCATATATATATATATATATATTTGTGTATTTTGGCAGCAATCCTTTTTTCATGCACATTTCATTGAATACGACAGACAAGGTGCTTTTATTTAGTTTTTTATACAATTTCTCATGCGATCTAATAATTTTTTTTTCTTTTCGGATGATAAATTATATAAAAACTGTCCGAATGTTCTTTTTATCCGAGCGCTTTCGGCTATACATTTAGCCATTTTCAATGATTAGCTATTTTAACTGTTAAATAAGAAATAGTTTGTTGTATTTATATTTTATAAAATATTTTCATTTTTCAAAACACATGTGTGTGTGTGTGTGTGTGTGTGTGTGTGTGTGTGTGTCTGTGTGTGTGTGTCTATGTGTTGAAATTAAGTTAGTACGCTTTTGCCTGTGTCCTGTGCTCATGTCAATATCTGGCCGTTATGCAAATCTTGAGTGCCCCATTGTAGGTTTCAAAGTGCACCAAGTAGGCCGGGGAGTTAGATCAGCGATTAACGGCATTCGTGAGGCTCCACCATACTTCAATTCTCCTTCAGGCAGCATCGTTAGCGCCTACTCTTTCTCTATCGACGTCAGCGCTGGTGACAAACACTAATTGTGATCGTCAGTTACTTCGTGGCTGCCTTGGTCGATAGTACTGGTGCTTGCTAAGTCAAAATTTAGACAGCGTTGGCCGTTGGCATATTTCTCTTCCCGTCTAGACATTTTACAATGTTGAATATTGACGAAATTAATTGTTAAAGTTGTATTTAACATTGTTTCTAAAAGATTGCCTGACTTTAAAATTTCGTTCAGGTTGTCTCGTTAGATAGCATTAGAAGCGTTTTTTTTTTTCTTTTAAAACAAGCTTAAAAAATCCTTTACAATTGACTTGTGTCAACTCTCATATTGACGTGATTTTCAAAATCATATTATAATTCTAAACTTATAATATCCATAATTATAAACTTAATTTTTAATCGGTAATCAGCCCATGCAAGGCAATAAAGCCTCTAAGATACAAAGGGTTACAGAGTATGGAAGAATTAGAAACAGAAACATTACGAATGAGCGGGAAGCGAAAAGAGAAATAAGAAGAGCAGTAGATTGACTTAAATTTTTGCAGATTAAAATCGACTGGAGAGCATGGAGCCGGAAGGGAGTTCCGTAAGCAAGAAGTTCGAGTAAAGCAACTTTTAGCATAGAACCTACGGCTAACCTTAGCCAGCTCCACTTTAAATTAATGGGATCTTGACGCCAGTCTTGTACAATCAAATTAAAAAAAGTCTAGGTACCCTAGCATAGATAGCATCCGAAAAATTACCACGAAATAGAAATAGAACAGAGAGGCAAATTTACGTCGGTCGGAAAGTGACTGACGCCGAGGCACCAGATCAGGACCGATATTATTGCCGATTCTTTGGATCTTATCAAGGATCTCAGGGTAAATAATCGGGGTACCATTGCTGTCAGTATTCTAAGTGTTATGGTCCGGTTACTTGTTCCACAGTGATAGTCTAAGGTAGAACCAATAAAGAAGAACGCGAACACAGGTATGGAATAACACAGATATATTACAAACAGGAATATATACAGAGAAGTAGAAGTGTTAGTATGAACAATCAGGTTTAGTAGAGAGAACAATGTAGTCTCGACCAGTATCACGATTCCAATGTCTTGCAGTAATTGTCTGAACGCGATTCTGTTTCGGACTGCCTCTGACTCGACTCTTGAATCGACTTGAACGACTGACTATATTTAGTCACCACCCTCACGAGGGCATCATGTGGCACAAGGTCGGTTTAAGGTGGGATCTCTGAGCCCGTGGACTCGGCCAAAAATATGCCCATTGAACCCGTATAAAGGGGTTCAGGGTCGGTTTACCTTCCGGAAAGAGAATCCGCCCTTCGGCGTAGCCTCTTTCGGTTTCCTCCCCGCCCGAAAGCAGAGAGTTCAACCGATCAAGACTTGAACGACCGACGATATTGTCACCTCACCCCACGAGGGCGTCATGTGGCACAAGGCCTTTTTATCGTGGGATCTCCGTGCCCGTGGACTCGGCCAAAAATATGCCCAAGGCAGAGAGTTCAACCGATCAGCCGGTCGAGACTTGAACGACCGACTCCTTGCCTACTCCTGAGGCGCAGTATATATTAAGTATGGAATAGTTCATTATTATTATTATTATTATTATGGGTAAGATCCCATAACACTAAGCATTTACGAATGGTAGACCTATAGATATGTAAGATAGATTTTGGAGAGAAAAATGTCTCGCACAGCACAGTGAGACAACTTTCTTAGCAATGGTTTCAATATAGTCTTTTCACTTCACGTTACCTGAGAACGTTAGCCCGCGAAGGCGCAACGAGTTATTTTCCTGGAGGTTAGCATCAGCCATACTGATGGAAGTTAGACAGGGGTCTTGAAGATGCTTAACGAAGAGGAGTTTAGTTTTTGGAGCGTTAAAACTAACAAGCCATCTTTTGCCCCAGTTAACAACAGATTTAACTATAAGTTAATTAGCACGTGCGTTACACGCTGTAACAGCTTATCCATTCCCTGCACGAATACTCGGTATAGCAGAAGGGGGCAAAATAAATCCTGACACATTTTTTGTTTATTTCGGGCTAGCCTAACTCTGGGGAAACAGTCATTGAACCACCTCCGAAGCAGTATAGATGCGTTGCTGGAAATGGAGGTATAAATACAAGGTTTTGTGTTGAGTACTCACTTCTTTCACGCTCCGTTATGGCCTCAGACAAGTAAAGGACCAATAGGTTTTGTCTGCGAGGAAGTATAAAAGAAAGACGCTGTTTGGTTTTCGAAAGAAAAAGAAAGTAAGAAAATAAGAAAGAAAAAAAGGGAAGGTGATAATTCTCTCATGCGTTTAACGTCTGCTTCAGTGACATGGAAAACATTGTCAATTTTAAATCTTTCCATTTGTACCCTCTTACTTCTTCTGACCTACATTTGTACTTATAAGTACTTATAATTGTTATTGCAATATTTTGTTGAAGTTGTTAAACTCTAATATTTAATAATGCAGTTACCCCGTCTATTTTATTGTCGTGGGAATTGCAAGGAGCTTATTCAATAATTAAATTAAAAATTATTATTTATCAGAAAATTGATATAGTTAAACCCTGATATTGTCACTGGTATTGACAGTAATTCTAATTTAATTCATTAGTGGCTTTTTAATTATAACACTGAACAGTATATGAAGAAGCTGTTGTGAATATTGAAACATGTTAATAATACTTTGCCAAGTTTTGTGCTGAACATTTCTCGTAGAACGATGCTCCACGATGGTGTAGACCAGTTGAGTTTGATATCAAGGATATCAATATATACTTTTGGAATAAAAATATATATTTCATACAGCAAATAGAAAAATATTTAAAATATTCAAATAAAAGTTTGAAAATAAATTCCTTAATGTTGGTTATGGTAATCGCTTTGATGTGTGGCTTCCAAATAACGAATATAGGCCGGTTTTAACGAAAATTATGATGCGCAATCGAAAGAAAGAAAGTAAAAGAAAGAAAAAACGAAATAAATAAATGTGTAAAGAAAGAAAGAAAGAAAGAGAAAAAAGAAAGAAAAAGGAATGAAAGAAAGAAGGAAAGGAAAACGAAGAAAGAAAGAAAGAAAGAAAGAAAGAAAGAAATGAAACACAGCGGAGGCGATAACATATTCATGATAAAAAGCTGTTATTAAAGTTCTCTGAATGTAATTGGCATGAACCTATTACACATGTAGCAACCCTGAAATAGCAAATCGGGTACAATTTATCGTTTAGTAAGCAGCTCATTGGAATAGAATCCCCAGTCATTAAGTGAGAATCCAGTCATTAAGTGAGGAGCGTTTGTATTTGGTTTTAAATCTTTTGATAATGAATAACTATTTATTAGCATTTGTGTAAAGTTTTCTATATTATGGGATGGTCACAAGTTATCTTACTACTCATTGGTCTATTAATAATTCTAAAGGCAGGGAAAATGGTGATTGAAAGGCAATAAGTATCAACGCACATTTCCTCTAAACTTGAAATGGCTTATCGTCATAACACATTGAAACACCTTTTCCCGTACGATCACGGAAGTTAACGTCTTACCTGGTCGCATAACTAGCCGAGACGTCACACTTGGAAGTGGTGTGAGGGCTTAGGCTGTTCTTGTCAATGTTCAAGTGTACTTCATGGGACTGAGCTCCAGAGCTTTTCGCTGTTCGTTTCCACCACAAGCCGTTCACCTTGTCCCTTCTCTAAAGCCATATTTGTTTCAGACGATACCGTATCGGAAAATGAAATTACCAAACGAGAAACACAATGGGATAATTTCTTCAGTTCAACGACACAATGGAGGAGTACCCGATGAGGTTCAACCGGGAATAGAAAATATTGATCTGCATCAGGTGTTATCAATATTATTCAAGTTCAATTTTCTGGCACAAGGTAAACATGGTGGGGTACTTAGTTAAGATTAGAGTAGCATGTTCATCATTACTTAACGGCAAACACTTCGGTATTTAATAAATTTAATTTGGTCTGACACAGGGTCAAAATCTTTCATCACTAGTTATCAACTCAACAATAAAACATGCTTATGGCTACATCACGTTGAAATATCGGTCCCTGTACGATGATCAAAATTAAGCAACGTTGAGGTTGGTCAGTATCTAAATGGGTGATTACTTGGGAATACGTGATTCTGTAAGCTTTGATGTGCAGGTAGTGTAATGGATAATGGCCCAGAATTATTAATTGGAGAGCAGAGTTCTAATTTCAGTTGGGTTCATTATATTTACTTTCCTTGGGAAAATATGGGTTAAATAGTAAGATTTGTATCACTAAAACATTACAAATCCATTACATACGTATTAAGTCTGAAATATCGATCGGATACTTCTCACTTAGCGGCCATTTTGTAAAAACGGAACCCGGCCCTTAAGTGAGGAGGGACTGACAGTTTTGTCGTTTCGAAAAAAGAGTTACAAAAAAAACTCGTGGATATCGATGATTTTAAATAAAGTTCGATTTTCAAGCAATTTTATTGAAATACAAACCACGATGTATATATACGCTTCATCGTTGAATCAGGGAACAATTGAGGAAGATTAATTTGTGTCAATCTCTGAAGATAGACGATCGTTTTTCTTGTTTTTTTTAAAATCGGTATCACCTCATGCAAGGCAGTGAAACGGCTGGAATGGTCAATATCCCTGGTGTTTGATAAGTCAAGATTTAGACAACGTTGGCCATTGACATTGTGGTGGAGCGGGTGGTTTGCGAGTTGTTGAATTAGGAAAAACGTTTATTTCCTGCTAGAAGAAGGTCCAGCTACAAAAAAAAAAAAAATGACGGACTCTAGTTGTGTCCACCCGAAGATGTAAAGAAAACAAACAAACAAGACCGATATATATATATATATATATATATATATATATATATATATATATATAAACAAATATATGTATTAAACAATACGATTTTACAATGGACATAGACATTAACATTTGTGTGTGTGTTTGAATATTTGTGTTTGTTCTTTGGTGAATGTTCATACGTACGTTTATGTGTGTATAATGTTTATGGCGTCTTCCACAAATGGGAAACGCTA